TCCAAATACCTACATATAGACCAGTATTTGAATGGAATACAGCTCTTTCAGCTGTTCTCAGGCAAAACACACCGGGCTGAAGAGAGTGAAAATAAAATTCAGAGAAGGCCAGGAGAAAAACACAGTTTTAAGTATCATAATATTCTTCATGACTACACATTTTAAACTAAAAAATTAATGTTGTTTTCATTAAAAAAATAGCTCTGCTCAAGGGCAGAAAAATCATCAGACTGGAAAGATGAAGTGATTAGGAAATTCAGAGATAAATTTGACATGAGAATTCATACTAACAACTAAGTTGATCTTGTATTTTATCACCTGCTTAGTCCAACAACAACCAGATCTGTACCCTGTCATTTCTGAAAGTCTGCAGTAACCAGACCCGTCTCACTGCTGGGCTTGCAACCTCTTGAAAAGCACTGAAGAAACAGAGGCTTTGCACTCCAACCTGAAACACTGTAATTTTTGAGACCTTGCCAGCCAAATCCAGAGCATGATCTCTCACCAAGAGCACTGTGCCTGCATTAGGACAGTGTTTGTGTGAGCATCTTGTGTATCCATGTCTGCTTTCCTGTAAGTGGGTGAATCTGGGTTAGTGACATGCTGGTTTTGAGATCAGAAGAGATTCATCGAATGTGGCTGATCAGAAAAGAGTGAGAAGCTCTAGAGATTCACCCAATACCTCTGTGCTGACCTCAGTAACTGCATCTGAAGACACCACAGCTAGGCACCATGTCTACTGTCTCCCTCTCCCACTAACAGCAATAAGATATTTGGAATGCATTTCACCTGAAAGAGTTAAATGCTGCCAAGTTGACATGTGATAAGTACTAAGTAACTGTAAAGTATTGTTTCCTTTCTTGTCTCCCAGTTCCCCAAATCAAATAAAGAAGTTCAGCATTTTTCAAGCATCTTCCTTATCTGAACCATCACAATGTCAAACAAACATCATAACTCACATTAAGCATTCCACTGAGTGCCTGTATTAGCTGCTCAACCCCTTCCTCTCTTCCTGTCTTAAAAAGTAATTAGATAAAGAGTTACATAAATATTTAAATACTTCTGCAGAGGTTTGCTAAGGGAAATGCAAGACTGGGTCTGATTCCAGGCACTCTTCCTAGTACACTGCCAAATATAAATCATCCTGGGAAACATTTTATTCATTTTAAGTATTGTGAAGAGGCCACTTTTATTTACAACATAACTAAAATAGGGATTTACAGAATAAATAAAGAAATATCTGATAAGATTTTCCAAAATATTTTAAAACATTTTTTTAAATTAAGTGATTTCAAGAATGCAGTGCCCTTAGATAAGTATCACACAAAAATGCTTGAAAAATTATTTAAGATTAATATTTTGCTTACAAATTGATAGACACTGAAGCCTGTTCAGGAAAATAAAGGCATGCCACTCTGATTATTAGCATAAAGCATCTAATGGCACCTGTAAAAACTTATTTCTCTAGACCTAGAACTCTCAGAACCTCAGCATTGCTACAGAGAAATCGTGACATACTGAGCTGACACTCAGCAGAGACCACACACATTATTGCATAAAACCTCAACAAAGAAGGCAAAAGAAACTCTACCAGAGAGAGTCCCATGCTCTTGCCACATTCCCAACACTTGTCCTGGTATCATCTGTTTTTCCAAAATGATCGATTTTACAAATTATTTTTCCTCTTTATCTAAAAGTATTTCCTGAGATCATGCAATCCTTGAGGGTTTCCAAGGACAGCAGCACTCACTCCACCCCTTTCCATACCCACTCCTCCTGTAATCCTGCCCTCATATCTAAGCCAGGAGGGCACTGCAGAACGTGACTAACACCACTTGGTCTGTTCCCTCATCTTCTCTATGCAGATGATTTGTGAGCATGGAGTATTCTGGTTTTGACAGGTCTGGCTCCTTTCTGTGCATGTGCTGCTATAAATTTCCTGGTATCTAATGACAGGACGCATGGGAATAGTTCAGAGTTGCACCAGGAGAGGTTCAGACTGGACATTTGGAAACATTTCTTTACTGAGAGGGTGATCACACATTGTAACAGGCTTCCTAAAGAGCTGATTGATGCCCCCACCTGGTCAGGTTTAAGAGGCATTTGGACAAGACCCTTAAAATCGTATGCCAGCTTTTGGTCTGCCTTGAATTGGTCAGGCAGTTGGACTAGAGGATCATTGTAGCTCCCTTCCAACTGAAATTGAATTGACCTTCTATTCTATTCTATTCTATTCTATTCCATTCCATTCCATTCCATTCCATTCTATATTGATATACAAAACTGTGCTAAGAAAGGACAGGTTGCCTGTTAACCACATCTGCCCTCGAATATTTTTAAATGCAGTCTTTATTCTAGAGTCAAGAGAGCAGAGGAATGCTGTCAGGGTGGGGCTTCAGGCTGGGAAGTAGTCACCCATCCTGTGCACAGTTAGTCCTCAGGTCTGTGTGGACTGAATAGCAGCACTGGAAGAGTGCTGCTATTCAGAAGCTAAATGTAATCGATGCATTAGCATTGCTGCATCAATGTAAAAGTGCAGAGTGAAAATATTTTAAGATCAGAACTAAGCACAAGGATTTTGGAAAAAGGTTTCCATTGTGCAGTTAACATGAACTTTTGTACTGAGGACTGAAGTGGGCAGTCTCAACCATGTACAGACGGATACTAAAGAAAAGTGTGCATCCAAAAGGAGAATTGCCACCAAGGCAGTTTCAGGTTATAGCCAAGCATAGCACTGAGAATTGCCAGCAAAGAAGGACCTTTTCCTCTGCATATGCTGTTGATTCCTATTATAGAGACTGCAATGTGCCCATTTTGTTTTGCTGGTGCTGCTTCCAGAGGAGTCCTAGCAAGGAACAGGGGACAACCTGGAAGGAAGAATTCCAAGCACTCTCTGGACTCTGGAGTTTGGGCAAATCCTCTGGAAAGTGAATTTTCCATTTAGACTCACCATTGAACTCTGTAAGTTTCTGAAGATCTTCTCCAAGCTCTGCAGTTACTGTCAGTGCCTGCTTCACCTTTAGATTTGTTTCACTGCAACAAACAACACGAGACAAAAACATCAACTGAAAGTCATATGTGAACTGAAAGCTCTCCCTGAAAGACACTTTGCTCTTCAGGATGGTATTCCTTGGATATCTGATGGACTGTGTTATGATATGCCTTTTCACCTGGCTAAAGGGTATAGATCTCGCTTTCCACTGCAGACAGGCAGACCATAAGAATTCTGGGCATGGCACCATGGTACCAAAGAGGGTGACGTGGCTCTATCTTCTCAGTTTCTCTACAGAGTGCAAGACCAGGCATCTCAGTTCCCTGAGTATCCCACTGCCTTTCCTGTCACTCATGACATACTGAGCCCCAAGGTATCAGAGAGATACCTGGAGAGCTCTGGAGCTTCTCTCCCATGGTATTCTGGTCTTGAAGAGTACTCCAATTCTGGAACTAGCTAGCTGGGGAGTTTGAAATACAATGTGAAAAGAACACTGCATTTGTTCAGGGCCTACTAAAAGTGGCACTTGTGTGTGCAAAATCTACAAGCTCACTTTCAGCAGAAATCAGACAAGGAAAGTCTAAAGGGCTGTCTGTAGGGTCTTGGGTGAGACACAATTTCTCAAACTCTCTGGTCTTGTCTAGTCCCTCAAGCTGATGCTAGCTCCAGGCAATGCAGAAAAGGTAATGCAAATTGAGTCATAAAGATGATGTCAGCTCCACTTTATTCCAATTAATACAAGTTGCAGCCCTCTGGCTTGTGGCCAGTTGTGTCCTGGAGTGAGCACCGTTTGGAAGCCTTTGCAGTATGCACACATTGGTATTATGGTATAGCAGTACAAAGCAGATTACTATAGCTATTCCTAATGATTATCTCACCCAGATAATCTGTCTAAGAGAAAAGACTTAGGGAGATTAAAGAAACAGAAAGCTCTGCCAGTGACCTGTGATATTGCAGGAATGTCTCTCAAACTAACTCTCAGTGTTAGAAAAACTGTCAGTGAAAAGTCCCCTCCTCACACAACATTTGCATTGGAAGACGCAAAAGTATCCACCAGAAGATATTATTTCAAGATACCTAGCCAAAGTTTATTCTACATATTAGGAAACTCTTGCTACCAAAGCTATTGCAGGTATGCCTGCAGCACCCAGGGACACGAGGTGTTTGACCTTGCAGTGGTGGCAGTGATTTCACCCAAGAGCCAGGGTCACTTACCCATCTAGTTCAGCTGTTTCGATGTAAGTCAGGCTGTGCGGCTCACTGCTCGACAGTAACAGGAGATCCGCCTGAACACAGACAGACAGACTTGGCATGAGTTCACACAGTCAGTGGGCATTGCGCTGCAGTGCTGCTTGTGGTTACTACCACATCAGTGCTATGACTGATTTTCTTGTGAGTGATAGGAGTGACAGAAATTAATTGTTATCAGGATAGAGAGAAACAAACAGTACTCACCGTCACAAAGTTGTTGTTTTCTAGTTTTATTATATCCCCCACTTGGACATTCATCCATTTTTGATCCTTTAACCTGCAAGGAAACTTCTAGTAAGCAGGCACATAAAGCAAACATCACTTGGGAAAGTAGGGTACTCAGCTCTGCTCCTGAAGCCGGACTGTAGGTGCCATCAGGATGTGGGATGTTGATAAGACAGAGCAGGGCCTGCCATGATGTGGCTGATTCATGCTAAGCAAAGGAACCACCACAATACAAAAACAAACAAAAAATCCCAACCAACCAGCCGAAAAAACCCACCCCCCCACACACAAAAAGGCAGGAAAAAGGAGGAAAAAGCAGGCAGTAAAAGCAATGGTTGGGGTGCCAGGTTGAGACCAAGCCCCACAATTGCAGCACAGTCCATGTGCACTGTCCTTGTCTCTGGACTGACTACTCCCCTCCCTCTCTTAAAGGGCCACATTGTCTCTCTTATCATGTGTAAGATTTCTGAAGCACCTGGGAAAATTGCTGACTGTGTTGGGTTTTCTATGTGGCATTAAGGGCCACAGCAACCAGCTCTCAGAAAGGTCAGTGTAGGTGCTTTGGCTGTGCATATGTCTATCTGTGCTGCGTCTTCCTAGTACTAAGCCAGAAGTGCTTTCAGGCAGGCAGCTAAACAGTAAGCACCAACATAAGTAAGTCATGATAGCTGTATGTGCGAAATCTAGAGGTGAGAAATATCAAGAGCTATTTCAAAACAGCACTGGTACTCAAGTTCGAAGTCAGCTCAGCCTTGCTTTTTCAATGTTGGTCAGGGCTGGGCAGGAACTGAGGCTTCCAGTTTTTGAAAAAGGCAACATATTATAAAATTTCTATTTCGATGTGTGTTTGCTAGACACAGTAACTCATACATGGTATACTAAGGAACTGGTTTATTTAGCAGAAAGCACAAAAATGATGTTCCTATTCTTGAGTTTCCAGTTATATTTTTAACTGTTGATCATCTGTTGGGAGTTTACACAACATACTACTAACTATAGTATGGAAAAAAAGTCACCAGAGACTTCACAGCTGTCTACAGCTGTGTCCTACGCGCAGTTGGAATCCATGGAGCTGCAAGTAAACAGCACAAATATCTGCCATTAAAGCCAAAGCCGCTGCTATTTTTTCTGCAGAAGACTACAGTGCTAGCAGTGCAATGTCCAAAGCACACATCTGGAATGTTTTGAGTACGTTGCAAAGTATTATGACATGTATGAGGGGGCTACTCCTGCTTCTTAATGTGAAATTACTTGTGGATAATGCCGGGTTTGCTTCATGCAAAAGAAATGCTATGAGCATAAATGAACATAGAAGATAGCTTTGCTTGTACAAGACTCTTGAAATACTGCTTACTTAAACATATATATCTAGGAACAGAAAGAGTTTACTTTTTACCAGTGCAAGGTCACAGCCACAATATCTGCACAGATTGTGGTACTGTGTCTTGAGCTCATTTAAACAGACACATAGTCCAAAAATGCTTGATGAACTAGTGGTGTGAAACACAATTCGGTTTTAAATTGTTTAGTGATCCTTGGGAATCACACATTAAAAAAATGTAAAATATTGCTAATGAAATGCTCTTCCCAGTCAGAATTACAGCACAAAGAAGAAGGACTTACATGCCATTGATCAGGACCTGCACTGGGCGGTTGTTGACGTGTTTGTCGCTTTTATGTCGATTCTGAAAATTGCATCAGTATGTTAAAAGGCTTTTCCAGGAAACCAAGCACACAAGAGCTGAAGGTAGTTCATTAACATTTAAAGTTTCCACCCAGCTGGCTGAATGGGTCAGGCAGATTAGGGTCACAACCAAGTCATAGTTGAGCCTATGTTTACACTAGTAATGCAGGGCATAACTAGAACGCAAAGAGCAACAGACAGCACTTGGAGGGAAGGAGGGTAGAGCCTTACACGTCACTTAGCACAGTTCTGACTCAGCTAGCATTGCTTCTACCCATCTCAGTGTGTAAACACCACAGAAATTCATTCGTCTGCTCTGACATGGAAAGTGGCCACATATATTCTGTCATTGCTCCATTGAGCATCACAATTATTTTAATAATGAGAGAAAACCAGATGCCAAATTCAGCTCTAACATCACCCAGTGAAGTCAATAGGACTATGACCATTAGTTCTGCTGAGAGCAGATTTTGGCCAGAGCTAGGCACACTTGAAAAATAACAGGTAGGTTGAGCACCTGCTTTCTAGCAAATATTTTTTCCACCAACATTTAGTTAGATAACAGAGGATGAGTTCTCCAGAGTGGAAACCTAAGAACATGCCTGCATCCACACATATCTGTCGGTGACCATGTTTTCAGACATGCTGAGCAATTTCAGAGAAAGTCAATGAAGCTGCTGGGCTGCTCATCAATTTGGAAATTCTATCTACTTTTTAGGAATTGAACTATAGATTTGGGGTTCTAATGTCAGACCCCATCTTGTCCACAGACCAGTCCTCCAACTGCCTGTCACCAGCTGTGTTTATTTTAAGTGGTTTGTTTTGGTAACTGTGCTAAAGAATCATGGGCAAACTCCAAAGTACAGGTCAGAAATACAGAGCTTACAAAATCATCTATGGCATCCTTGACTCCAGATACAGCCAGCACCAGCACCAGGGGCACCACTGTTGTAAACCAGGCCAGTGAGGAAATCTGAGGAATCAACTGTTGGAAGAAAAGATCTGAATTAAGAAATTTTCTACTAGTTCAGAAAACAGATGGAAACAAATTACTTTTTCCTGATCAAGCTGCAGACAACATTTTCCCATGATACCTGAATATAGAATAAAGACAGAAATGCATCTCTATCACAGCTATGTTATTCCACAAAGGTGGGAGAGCCAAGGAGCCTATGCTTTGCTTACAAAACAAGCTGTAATATAAGTTATAAACATGGAGCTGTCAGGAAGTGTAGTGGGTTGCTCTTTCTTGTTTTTTGTAAAATTAGGATTGCAAACTCCCCAGTGAATTTTTTTGGAGGTGCTGACGTGGGCAAGCCTGCTGTGAGGGACTCAGAGCTATCTGAGCGAAGCCAGCTGTGCAGAGCCTTCAAAAGCTTCTGTTCTTTGTTTCAGTAATTGTTCACATTTTACTGAAGTAAACTTCACATCACTAAACAACACACAGCTGTTGCCAGGGCCGACCTTGCTCTTCCAAGACCAACAGAGCCATTTTTGTTTCCTACATCTTTAGTAGTGAGAGGACCTAAGAGTTGAAGGTGATTCCATCATGCCTTCAGTGATGCAGAGGCGGATGTCCTAACCTCCCCTTTCTCCTGAAGCACAGCACTAGGGATGGGAGCAATGTGAAACCAGCATTAGTGTGTCCATCAGTTTGGATTTGGGCAGTGTCAACTCCATGTGCATAGTGAAGTTCACATTTATGCACTGTCACAGCCCAGATCCTACAGGCACCACCAAATCCATCCAGGAAGAATGACGTTTAGAGGCGAGCACAGCCCTGCTGTGTAGAGGCTGCAGGAGATAAGCAACTGCTACCTTATCACCTAACTGGGAATATGCATGTCCCACTGGTCAGTAAGGAAGGAATGGGGAGGAATAGTCCCTAGAGCCTACCCATCACATCCACTCCTGATGCAGGAAGAGATAGTTCCAGTGCTACAGAGATGGAGTGAGAAAAAAAATATTAAATGGTGGAATACGCAGATACAGCAGACTGCCCTCTTTGGCCTACCTCAATGTAAAGAAAAAGCTGTATGCTTTTAAACACAGTTGCTCCTAGATGGCTCAGCAAAACAAACAGTGGAATAAATTTAGGCACATAGTTTGAAATGCTATGAACTTGACAGACAAACAGCTAGAGAGCAGTACAACAACACAGGAACTGTGCTGTCAGCTTAGCTGAAAAGGCACCTTCACTAATATATTGAAAAATATACGTGCACTGAAATTTTCCAAGTTCATTCCCTGTAAATAAGCAAAGAAGATCGTATGTGGTTTGCTGCAGGTTTAACTACATTCTTCCTATTCTTTTCTGAGCTCAAATTGTAAAAGAGTATTTGAAATGGGTAATTTTACGAATTTGTCTACACTGAAATGGTCACATTTAAAATACCATACTTGAAACATAATGAAAACTATACCTTATTTTTTGCTAACATGCATTCTGATATGACTCAACAATAACAGAGGACACTGCCATATTTTAGCAAAGTGCAAAGGGGCAGAAATCCTGGTATCAATTTCTCTGGTGCGTTCAGCTTTCAGAGAGAGTATTATTACCAGCAGCGATAGGTAACGTGCAACTCAACGCCATTATGATCCACAGGGTTCAATAGTGTTCCCAGTATCTGACATGCTCCATATCAGACACCTTCCTCTCCCTGAAGCAGGGAGCAACAAAATCCAGCTTTATGCAAACTAGCCATAACCTTGAGCCTTCCAGATGTTAACTCCTTCCTTCCCAGTGAAACAGCACAGGTTACAAACTTTGTTCTTCTTGCTGTTTCCTTTGCTACTGCCAATGGAATTTGCCTTAAAATGTATGGGTAAGACACAGCTTGGTTTTAATAGAGCAGGAGGAATAAGTAATGCAAATCTGAGGACAGTCAGAATCACTCAGATGTAGACACAAAAGGGTAGTTGGACAGGGCATGAAGAAGTTGTACAATTGGTTGAAAACTTTAATTAAATTTTTTTTTTCATTTAGTACAAACCCTCGTATCCAAAGGTAAGAGAGGAAATTGCTTTTTTCTGCCCTACTTTCTATCTACTATTAGGTTTTGCTAAGATGCTAATTCAAAACAGGGATATAGCTTGGACTTTATTACACCTATCAAACATAGACAAGCTTTGATAACAGAGAACAAAATCTGCTGGAAACAGCACAGTGAATTCATACCTGCAAAA